GCCGCATCCAGGTGACCTTCTCGGGCATGCGGGCGTTGGCCGTGCCCTTCCTCTTACCTGGGCAGGGCGAGCCCCAAAACCTGCCAGTTAAACCCCAAACTCTTCCCAAGGTGTTTAATCCCCCTCTTCAGCTCAAGTTAAAAACCATCCACAGCCAAGCCAAGGGTTTTCCATCTCTGTGGCCAAACCCACTGGGATATTCCCCAGCGTGAGGGAGCAGCAGGACCAGGCACCACGGGAAGTGGGTGATTTACCCCATTCCCAGGGGTCCCTTGGCCCTGGGGGTCCCTGTGTGTGGCACTTTCATTATATTTTATTATATTACTTTCATTATTTAAATATTTAAACTCTAGGTTGGTGGGGGATGTATATCTGCAATCACCAAATGAAATCAGAGTCAGCCACGTTGAACTGACATTCCTGTTTTCCTACACAACGTTAATTTTTAAATTAAGCTGGTCAGGGAGGTTTTTGAGAGACAAAAAAAGTGCAGCCTTGGATTTAGATGGAAGTGATTGAACTGCCCAGGATCAAGGACTGAAGAGTCACAGCCGAACTGGCGGGCTCGGGAGGGACACTGGGGAGGCTTTGGGGGAGAAGCTGAATTTTAGGGGTAGCCTAAAATTCTGGAATCCCCCGAGTGGCACAGGGCCTCTCCAGGGGCGGGGGCTGCCCCTGGGGGTCCCTGGTGCCCCGCTGTGTGTGGGGTGCAGCCCTCACCGATGCCCATGTGCCGGCCCTTCCTGCGGGCCAGCGTGTTCTTCCTGCAGCGGGCGCGGGAGTGCACGGTCACCGGCTTCCTGATGATCAGCCCGTCCTTGATCAGCTTCCGGATCTGCTGCCCTGCAAAACACGGCCAACACCTCCTCTGGAGCCCTCAGGTGAGCACAGATCCCCCCCCCTTGTCCCCCCTGGGGGAAGGCTGGCAGTGCCATGGAAGGTGGGTCTCCCCACAGAGCCCCTCACGCTGCTGGAACTGCTCCGTTCTCTCTGCCAAATCTCCCAGAGAATCTCCCAGTTCCCTCACTGATTATCTCACAGGGCACCAGGGAGCTCTGAAAACCCTGGAAACCCCACTTGGAAGTGGGGAAAAAAAAGCTCCTCAATTTTACCCGAGCCAGAATTTCACCTAAGGCAAAAGCTGGGCTTGACAATCCTGGGAGGCTTTTTCCAGCCTCAATGGTTTTATGATT